CATAGAATTATGCCCTTAGTTAAGCACCCTCATTTTAATTTTATTGTAAACTGATGGACCAAACAGAAAGGCTTGGATCTATTTAACAGTAGTAAAGGCAAAACTTACACCCCCTGTGGCAGATCAAATTTAGTAACATATTTAACTCTAATTCTTTAAACTACAATCAGTTTTCCGAGTAATTTGTGATCTAATGCAACAGACTAAAATTGTCTCTTAATATAAACACCCATTTTATTGACATTCCACAGTACAATCAAATAGGCAGAGCCTAGTCATTTAATGGCATATTTAAAAATTATTCAAAAATAGACAACTCAATTCAGGCTCATTATGAATTGAATACTGCATGTGTGGGTGATAGTTCTAACTTTCATGACCGATTTGAGTCTGTTTTTAGTCACTGGTGTAATAACTGTGTAGCAATATTATCTCATGAGCATTGAGGAAAAAAAATACATTGAAAAAATCTAAAAAAATATATCTGTCCACTTGAAAATATTTCTATTCACCTCTTTCGATTCTAACTGCGTATTGATTAATTTAGGCACGGTCAGAGTGAGTGTAGTGTGTATTTGTGTGACAGAGATACAGATATATATATATACCTTATCAATAATCTTTTGAAAATGCACTTCCACAGTACAGCTTTGCACATCTTTGTGTTTATCAGAGCTGTGAATCAGCACTGAGAGCTTTTTGGATCTGATCTTTTGAGCTCTGTATCCAAACACAAAGAGCATCGAATCTATCACATTGGACTTCCCACTTCCATTTGGACCAATGATGCATGAAAAGCGCTGAGAAAGAGGAGAGAAGATAAAAAAAAATATATAAAATCAATTATCTAAAAATATACTGCAGCCACATCAACAAATAAAGTAAATGTTTTAACTTTAGAAGCTATATGTGAACATTTGAGCATAGTAAGATTGTGATAGTGAATGTATTCCAAGTGGGTGTAGTTAATTTTTATTTTGATATACCTATATTTGCAGAGCAATGAGGGGAGCAGAAAAAGGTGAAAAGACAAAGTTTATGAAAAGTCATAATTTAAGGGAAATGTCAGAACATCACTAGATCACTACCCCATGTACGATACACTCACTAAATCAAAATGGAGGAGTGTGACTTTTTCCACTTTGAAAAAAAAAATAGAAAAAATTAAATAAATGTTATAATGTAGCATCATTAATATTTTTGTAATTTTTGTGTATACCACTACACAAGGCAACATGTGTGCAGCTACATAACATGAATTTAAAGACAAATAAAAAATAAAACTGAAGAAACACTACAAATGATGGTAAATCTGTGAGCTTAACACAACACATTAACAGTATTTCCCACGCAGGCTTGACATTTGTAACCATGTTTGGTTGTACCTTGTGAAAAGGCCCCAGAATCTGCTCGCCAGCATAAGATTTGAAGTTGCGATTGACTAAATGTGTTATCATTAGGCGAGGGGCACCCGGTTCATTGGCCATTGCTGGGGGCGGTGGTGAAGGGATGCTACCGAGAATCTCCTCTAAACTTCGATTATCAACTGCCTCGGCAGCTTCTCCGTGAGACGGATCTGTGGCACAGAAAAAAGTACAACTTTTATTCCTCTGTGCGAGTCGTTTCAGGTGGGGGACAGTGGTGCTTGGGGGAGGGGTAGAGGAGCATAAAAAACAAACAAACAAAACACAGGCAGCAAGTTAACAACAGCAGTCAAACAACGACTCCCGAGAAAGTTGACAGGCGTTATTTTTCTTTGTTCTGGAAACAAGAGCCAACCCCAAAAAAAGAGAGAGAGAGAGACCATGGCCGCTTATGAACAAACCCACATTATTATACAAACGCTCTCAACGAGAAGCGTTGATACGTGAGAGTAGATGCGCCACATTCATTTCGTCGATAATAAATAACTAAAGTGTACATTTCGATCACCAACGTCACATTTTCACTCATGCTGAACTGCACTCAAAACACAAGACAGGGGGGAAATCTTGTTTTCTGGTGATAATGTATAACGTAAAAGCGATTATGTTGCCATCACATCATGCCACAACGACCTGTCCAAAAATCTATTGTGCTCACATAAGCATAAACAAGCTATGGGGGTCGATGTTTGTAAATTAAATTCTTGCACCCAGTGAAGCATTTCAACATATCCCAGAGAACACAAACATCACTTAATGCCTATGTGCATCTTAAGCTTCGCATACAAATTATCACACAAATTACAAATGACCAAGTTATAAGAATTACACCAAACACCCTCTTGGTCTACTACATAAGACGTTTTTTCATTATCCGAAATAAATTACCTCGTTGGCTGAGAAGATCCGAGGAAGAAGTGCACTCGACGATATCAAAATCATCTCAAAAATCATAAGACATTTATTGATGACTGACACTTTAGAAAAAAATATACCAGCCATTCTAACTACGTGTTGAGGTTTGAGTAAGGAGGAGGAAAAAAAAAAAAAAAAAGAGGCTTCACAGCTGTGCCAATTGGCCACTACCAATACAGCAATAGACGCAACGCCATTGAAGTGAGCTAAACTTATTTAGATTCACAGACACCAAAACACCCTTTGTTACTTGCCAGTTGTCGGCCGTGCCTCCTCTTGGCCATTGGAGTTAGTTACTTGAGGGGGTACATCCAGCTCCTCTTCGGAGTCATCCCGAGGCTGCGACCCTTTCCCTCTTGGCTTGGCGGAGGCAGTTGAGCTCTTTGCAGTTTTAGATGGCATGATTTGAAATCTGAAGGGGTCATTGGTAAGGGAGAAAAAAAAAAAAAAAAAAAGAAGGAATATCCATGAGTGGTTTTTATGCCTGTCAATCTTCCCCTAACTCCACTTTTAGTCGGTCACACGCAGCTACCGTTGTCAGGCTTAAATCATTACCACAGTCAGATCTCACTGCCGCCCATATAAACTGTTAGTCGGTATATTTTTCATTTGGTAACATAGTTTTTTTTTTTTTTTTTTTTAAACAATAGCTGAAGTAACAACATGAATAATAATGTTTGTCACCTGAACTAAGTGAGTTAATAAAAACGACTCACAGCCTGATAACATAAAGAGATGGCTGCCAATCGGCGAATTAGATGCTGCTCTAACACTAAACCCAAATAACAGTAAAAATAAATAAATAATAATGGCCTCCTCCTGTGACAGGATCGTTTAGTACCCTACTGCCACTGAGGTGGGCATTTGATCTGCGCGTCACGAAGTTGGGGCAGTTAATGACCCTCGCAATGTTGGGGGGGAAAAAACAACAACAGGAAAATAAGGTTAAAGTAACGTCAACTAGGAAAACAAGTTCAGTTAATATGCAAATAGCTAAATTGTCTCCCCCACAGCTCCTAGCCTAGCCTATGTTAACGTTATATCGTCTCTACTGGACAGACGCAGGAAAAAAAAAAAAAAAAACAGGCTCTCTGGTTGGTGGTAAAGGAGAAAACGTCCTCAATTGATCGAGGTCTCAAACTAATCCACTAATATTCACTTTAATACTCCCCTCAACTTTTACGTTGGGGGCGGAGGTGCAGACGGGGCGACTTCGCTAGCTAATTGGAGAGAGAGAGAGAGAGAGAGAGAGAGAGAGAGAGAGAGAGAGAGAGGCGCACATTCAAAGGGCGACTGTAACTGAACAGTAACGTTGGACTAATGGTAACGTTATAATTACAAGTACGTTTGCCATATAAGTTCAGTAACGTTACCGGATTTATAAAAAACACACACACACGGACCGTTCACGTTGCCACGTTACTGTTTCCACTCTGCCAAGTTAGCTGCTGTGGCTAACTATCTGATGTAAAATAACGCTCTGGAGCTAAAGCTAACGTGATTGCTAACTTTGATTAGCATCCGCGTTGTGGGTCTGTAACGTTAACGCCACACTGTAAACGTACTGTACTGTGAGTTAGAGTTATGGGACTCTCAATGGGCGCTTAACTTAGCGTGGGTGCAAGTAAACTTAACTAGGAGCTAAAGTAGTTGACATACACCAAGGAGGTAATTGCAGGTCGAAGTTTAGGAACATTAACCTTAGCTTAAACAATCGGTAAAGTTGTTACTGTTATGGGTGCGTGTCTACGAAAAGGCTAATTTTGTTAAATGTAGTATAAAAGGAAAAAAATAGATCAACTCTTCCTTATATTTCCTAATATTATCACCGTCGGTCAATACGTTTCCCACCGTAGCTAATGTTAAAACGCAAGTTAACGCCGTTAATGTTGAGTCTGGTTTGTAACGTTAACTAACGTTGTGCGTTTCAGCAAATAGACGGAACCCAGCCGTTACTCCCAGCCAAAGTGCTCCTATGTACCTTTCCACGATATAAACACGGTCCGTCAAGAGTCCTCCCTTTCAGACTCAAATCGCGGAGAGAGAGAGAGAGAGGGAAGAAAAAAAAAAAAAAGTGTTCGTTAATCCAAAATTTGGCGAATATAATCCACAAAACAATTTCAGCCCCGTGTCATTCCGAGTCGCTCTCCCTACTTGAAAAACTCTAACTTGTAAATGGCGCCTAAACTCTGCCGTCGAACCAAATTCGTTACAAACTGACGCAAGGCACCATGGAACGTTCAAAGGGCAAGGGAAAAAAAAAAAAACACGAAATTCAAAAAAAGGGGACGAAGCCAACTCCGCCTCGCTCCTGACAGACCATAATCATATGATAATGATAATAAGAGAAAAACAATCGGTTGCAAGCGCAGACACGCAGCACTTATTTACAGAGCGTTGTACGTTATTTAGTGCTATTGTCAGATTCAAAGCCCGATGTTTCTGTGTGTTTGGTTTGTTACAGTAGAGTGCAAGTCCCGCCCGGAGGAATAGTTTACGTTTCAGGAAATATTGTACGATGGATCAACGATTAATGTTTGTGTCTTTTGATTTTAATGGGTACTATTAAATACATTTATTTAACAGATGTCATGCTGCACTTGTAAATAATTCCAAATATCCGTTTCAAGAAAGCGAGACTTGCAACTCTCGCGATAACTCACTGTTCAAGCTTCTTATGACCCAGATTAAATGGCTACCAAAGGGTAGCCTTAACGTTAGCGATAAATTACTGATTAGTGATGGATAGGCTTGCTCTGCACTGTATTGACCGTTCATGCATCATTTGCTGGAGTGAATAACACGGATACATTGCTGGTTATCTCCCTGTACAGTCAGAAACGACAGAGCGATGTTTGTTTTAACTAGAAAACCAAGTTAGCGTTAGCATTGAAGTCACAGGAGACTCGGGGACATCTGACGATTCACGTTAGCAACAGTGGCAGGTACCGTAGCAACTGCAGACGTTTGTTTTGTTCACCGTTACAGCTACCAGAGCATGCCAACTGCTGAATCACCTTGTTTACGGGGTAACGTTACCGTGCATGGTTTCATGTTTGTTTTTTGTCTTCTATATTGTTTCTTTTTGTGTGTTGGTTTGACACTAGTGTGATACCAGAAGCTTTAATATGACCTACTGACAATGTATTGTTTGTTTAGGGATCAACAGAACAAACGTCCACCATGAGACTGAAAACATCGCTGCTACAGGAACCCAAACATATCCTTTTTATTATGTCTTTAGCTATCCAGCTTTGTATTTGTGCTTCTGTACAGCTCATATATATATATATGTTATGTAACACAATGTCAAAACTTTGCTATTGTTATCCTTATTATTGTTAGCACCATTAGAAGTAGTCATATAATTGTAGTACATGGCTGTTTCCTGTTGCTTGGCTAACTTGCTTCTATGGCATTCAATGCAATCAATTAAAAGACATATCTTTATCATTCAACATGATCACTTTCCTTAACAGCAGATCACATAAGGAACTTGTGAGTTGCGTTGGCTGGACCACGGCAGATGAGCTGTACTCATGCAGTGAAGACCACCAGATCCTCAAGTGGAACCTGCTGACCAGTGAGACCAGTCTGGTTGTCAGATTGCCTGAGGACATTTACCCCATTGACCTACACTGGTTCCCCAAAACCCTTGGTGGCAAGAAACAGAACCAGACTGAGATCTTTGTCCTGACCAGTACTGATGGCAAGTGTCTTTATTCTCTAAAAGTTGGCCAGCGAGCTACGTGGCTCTGACTTCACTCATGAAAGTTTTATTTTTACAAATTGGTCATTCAGTGAGTAGCTGCATGACAAGGATCAGTGACTGTTTTCAGTCATACCAATACAGGTAAATAAAAGAAGTTGTTAATGTAGAGCATAAATAGTCATATGCTAACTGAACTAACTAAACATAAGAACTGGTAACAGAGTTTTCACTACTCTCTGGACCGTCTCTGGTCTTCTTTTTGAAGATGACAGTGTCTTGCCTGATCATTAGAAGAATTTGGCCCAGGAGTTATGCTTTATAATTAAGGGAATTCATCTCTACCAGAATATTTATTTTGAGAGAAAGCATATTAATGCGGTTTTAGTATCGCAGTAAAGATACTAAAATCTTTTCATTAGGCCTTCAATGTCCCATCACTAAAGACGGATTTTTGTTTTGCATCTGTATATTTGTAATACTAATTTTGGCGATACAGTAGTCTGTTGGACGTGCATCTACGTGGCCTCTTATGTCTCTTCCTCAGCCTATATTAGATATAAACACACAGAATATGGATGTACTGTTATGGCAGGCGATGTGTGGTCACAACACTAATGGCAGTGTAGGGTTGCATAAACACACCCACAAACTGAAGCAGCAATTTTCTCTGGCAGACCAGAGAGTAGTGAAAACTCTGTTACGATTCACTTTTGCAGCTTTCTTCTACTTCTTGCCTTGTACAGTTAAAGAAATATCAGTATTGCTCTGCTTATTGCTTCAAATACGTATTTGTTTTTCATTGAAACCAACAACACGACAATCACACAGTTTTATTCTTTGTAACTTTGGTGTGTACTGAAAGATTCTGTCGCACAGTTTTAAATTTGGATTTTGTACAGGATATTTTAACATTTTCTAATGTATCTGTAGATATAGTAGAAAAGAAAGCAGTCCAACAGTCAGGATTTTATTGGGTGGGAGGATTCTATATTAATGCTGTGGCTTCTCCTAACCTTATTTGATTAGTCAGCCTCCCTTTTCCCTGCCAGCGTATTAAATTAGTTTTTTTGTGTCGTGCATATGCAGTTGGACCTTTTTCCAGTCACAAATATTGTGTTAAAATAGGTATTTGTGCAATATTTGTTTGTACGACATTAACTAAAAGTTGAACTTTTAATTGATAGGTAGGCTTCATTATTTTGGGATACCAAATATTTCCCCATGGTTGAGCATAACATCGTAGCTTAGCTGCATCATTTTTCATTCTACCAGAAAGGGTATTGTGTGTAATGGAGGTAGACTTGTCCCAAAGAGGACAAAATTGAGCATGAAGGATATGGCTGGGCCTTCAGGAACAACAGCCCGTCAGTCTCAATCTCTTTCACCCTGTGCTACTACAATGTGGCATCATATTAAATTTCACACACGTGTCCTGAAACCATGTATAAATTGAAGTAACAACAAAAATATGTTGTCATGATAAGGTATCATAAAAAACACCTGCCTGATGACAAGCAATCAAACTAATCTGCACACACAAAAACATTGCACACACAATGTTTGGCTTCACAGATAAGGACTGTTGATGTGACCGCAATAGAAATATATAAATTGTATTTTTAATTATTTTTCTTTTGAGTCCTTCAGGACAGCTGTACATGCCTGTTTCACTCACTACCTGCCACCAGTAACATCCACTTTTGTTGGGATGTCCAAATTTAGAAATGGGAGCGAGCAGCAGCATGCTGATTTGCAGTTTTAGGCCACCAGAAATTACATAGAACATTCAGAATTTTTTAATATACACTGCCACAAAGTATATGTTAGGCTAGTGTCTTCAATAACTGTCTCCATGCCTGATCACCCTTCGTGTCTAGCAAAATGGAAATTTGCCCTAATTCAACCAACCGAAACCCTTTAGTTTCACTCATCCGCTTTATGCCTCAGGTTTGTAATTTAGGAGGAGAAAGCTTTGTTGCTAATTGTGTGTTAAGGGATTGGTAGTTATTACACTTTTATTCATAGGGCTGGATTATAATTTTGTTTTACGATGAGTAAATATTTTCTCCTCACTGGTGTTCTGGATTGGCCATAAAAAAATCGTATAGCACCAGTTGACTCACGCGACACCCTGAGTCATTTGGACTAATCCATGGTCTTTTTATAAGATTGCATCTATGTAGCAGCCAGTGAATTACAGCCGACACTATTGTTCCTGAAATGTAGACTGTAAACGCTCACATCACTCCAGGCCGTGAGTGTAGAATTGCCGTACAGTAAACCTTTTTTTTTTTTTGTCTTACAGGGAAGTTCCACCTGGCCTCCAAGATGGGGCGCATTGAGAAGAGTGTTGAAGCACACAAAGGAGCTGTTTTGGCTGGAAGATGGAACTATGATGGGACTGCTCTTATCACAGGTAAAAGATGGCAGGGTCATACATATTTTCCCTGCCGCTTAACAAATACTCATTTCATAAGTTTTCAAGTTCAGTTGTTAAAATTTTTATATCCATTTCCATCTGTTTCTCTAATTACCTAGCTGGAGAAGATGGGCAGATTAAGATCTGGTCAAAGAGTGGGATGCTACGCTCAACTCTGGCCAGCCAAGGTAAGACTAAAGGTCCTTGCTCTACTTCACTGAATTTAAGCTACATATGTATCTAGTGCTTGTGTGAACCTGCTTTCCATAGTTATGTATCATCACTTTTTATAGCTTCGCTGAGCCAAAAATTTATGAAAAAGTGGAGCACATGCATTTGTTATGCACGCATCCTCTGCATTGTGTTGTCGCGATAACGCCTGCTGCTTGTCTGCTGTACTTGATGCACTGAATAATAAAGTTAAGGCTACAAAAATTAAAAACTTTTTATAATAAAATAGTAATTTGAAAAAGGGCAGTTTTCAAACTGCAGCAGCTGCGATTTTTAATGATAGCGGTGAAAGTTTAGGATCATTGATTTCACTGCCTGAAAGGACAGCTGTAGCCAGAAAATATAATCAGCTGCAGCCAAGGAACAATAATTCAGAGAGTTTACAAAATGAAACTTTTGCCTGTTTAATCCGTTTAATGTGCTCTCTGCATGCTGGTGTGTGTGTGTGCACTATTAACACTCAGCCAAATATGATTTCCTGGTGAAGGGAACACAACACTGTATTGTTTTGATATTTAAGATAGAGAGTGTTTGTGATGTTATAGGAGACCAACGGGTTGGTCTTTCTGTAGGATTGTTTTAACTTATCACCTTAAAGCCACTTTGCCTGAATCCAACATTTTTACATTAAAACTTGTACATACAGAGCTGCACATGGAAGCTAGTACACTGTTTACAGTCTGTTGTTGTAAGTTATCAGCTACTCCATCATGATAAAGTGAGTTGTGACCAACTGTAAATATACAAACAGTAGTAATAATAACCTGAACCCTCATTATGTGCACACATCTACACAATAAGGCCATAAAGCTGTAAATGCTATCATCCATGCCCCCCGCTCTATATAAATCTTGATTCTTATAATTTGAATGGTAGAGTGAAAAAGAGCTGATCTGAGTTTTAGACTGATACGGTTTAACACAAGTCACATCCATAACAGCTGCCAGCCAGCAGCCATGCACAACCAGTCACTGACCAACCAGCTGCAGGCGTTTAGTAAACACAACACAACACAACATACCGGCACCAATTACACCCTCTCTGTCTCTCTATATCTCTCACACACACAGACACATAAAGCACAGAATGCTTGTGGACCTTCTGGCTCGAAGAGTGCCTCTTGTGACATAGAGTAAAAGTGAGACAGAGGAAAAACAGCAAGAAGGAGAGACCAGGCACACAGAACTTCACTTTCATTCATGTATACTAGGGAAGCTTTCTCCTTCTGCTAGTGTTATGACACAGAAGTTCACCTTCTCATCTGGCTCCTGTTTGACACCAGAATCAGAATAACTGCCTGCTGTTGCTGGGCCTTACAAGTCGGCTCTTACAAGTGGTCCCAGATGGCAAATAAATTGCCACATCTTACATGTTGTTTGATTTTATTCTTCAGACTTTCATTCTACATTTTGTGTTAATATTTATGCTTGCTTTCTAAAAGTGTATGTGTGGTTGTTGCATTCACGAGCACGTACCTCACACGTATGTCTGCGCCGGCACATCTTGCACTGAACGATCTGCAAGATTTCCTTTTGTGTTGAAGCTGCCTTTTTACTCAAGCCAGACAATTTAAAATGACAATCAAGGAGGAAATGTTTTTTTTTCTCTCTCTCTCTCTCTGTGGCTGTGCAGTCGTGTGAACATGTGTGTGGTGTGTGTATGTGTTAGGCCTATTGGGATGTAATTGTGCTCAGTGCAACCGAAAGCAGAGTCGGTCATCCAGTTCTATGTTTTTTTTATTAAAAGCGCCATAAAGTTTCAAAGCTTTATAGGAGTGGAGTTTTATTAAAAGCCATAAAAAAGACTCCTAATGATACATTTCTCTACCCAGCATTAACATTACAGATGTATTACTTATCAATTGATTCATCGTGCTGTTCGATTTATTAAACATTTCTTCTCAGTTGTGGGACAGAAAAAAGATGGGGGGGTGGATGAATGTTGGCTTCTGAGGAAATGGATGGCACACTCCTGCTGAATAACGGGTGCTGTGGAAAACCTGGCAGGGGAACAGCAATTCAGCCCCAGTATGTAGGAACATTTTTCCTTAGCTGGCTGTTTGGAGAATGAGCTGCTGGGTGATGGGCTGCTCAACAGACCCACAGATTTGTAGAACACCTGGATATAGTACCATTGCCACATATATACACCATCCTCCACATGGCACTCAGATCAGTGCAGGTGTTGCTTCTCTTCAGAGCCCACAACTCCACACACACACACACACACACACACCTCTCTCTACAGGAGCATGCTGTTCTACTTGGGTACTATGACCCATTTAAGAGAGAGAGAGCTCTAGGAAGCAGGTTGGAAGTGAGTGAGTGAGAGGAAGGAGAGAGGAACTCGTCTCAACCTCTCTCGTCGGCTTTGTCAGATTTAGATCATGTGACCAGTTGGCATTTGTGAGAAACCACAATGCACCTGGAGTGGGGTTAAATGTCAGGCCCTCTCCCCTCCACACGTGCATAGCCACAAACCTGACTCATACACACACATTTTCCTTCACACATATGCACGTAAGCACACACACACTTTTACTTATACTGTAGAGGTTAGGCAGCTGGTGTGCCTGCAAGCTAAGTGCAGTTCCATAGGCTGAATGAGGTGAGATCTCTGAGGGAACACGATACTGTCTAAGAGGAGGAATTAGCACTGCTGTAGTTTGTTGAGAAGAGAGAGTAATTCATACACACACAATTTTAATTCACATCTTTTTAAATAGTAAATCAAGTATCAGTCTTTATGTGTTAAAGCCCGATCCGTTGTTCTTTGCTTGAGGTTAACACAAGATCTCATCTTCTTGTCTTCCTGCTAATCTTCCAGGGTCTCCTGTGTATTCTGTGGCCTGGGGTCCAGACTCACACAGAATCCTCTACACATCAGGAAGACAGCTAGTCATCAAACCTCTGCAACCCAGTGCTAAAGTCATACAGGTACACTAACTTTATTTATTCTTTTGGGAGGTAAACAATGTAAATCTACATTCATTACTTAAGGTTCAAATAAGTCAAAGTTCAGAAATTGACATAAAATCAATCAAAAAACGTACTACATGGATCAAATGACAGATGTTTTTATGGTCGATACAGGCTCAGATTTTTCTAAATACAAATAATAAATAGATAAAGGAAAATATCAGGGGTTTTTTTCTGCAATCTCTTCTTGGTCATATGATCCATTAGCTCCTAATGACTTTAACTACATTGGATACATTGACTACACTTTCAGTGTATCCTCTAGGATTTTTTTTAGCAGCGGCGGCAGGCCTGTCCGAAACCCCCCCCGTCACGCCGGCAAGCGTTTTATGTATGAAACAGAACTGACACTTCGCTGCAACACAAACAAATATATTTACCGTTTTAATGTTTCCAGATGTTTGATATCAGGACGTTGAGCTGAGAACTGACAAGTTGAACGTTGTCCAATTAAAACGGACCCACCGCGGTGACGTTTTTGGTGGAGCTGTTAGTTTAATAGTCGACATGGAAGAAAGCGAACGTTTTGACAATAAGCTACATCAACACAACAGTATGTGGAGTTAAACTGGACAGCCCCAATAACCTCTGAATAGTTCTACTTGTTGTTAAATTGCAATGTGAGCGGCAGCCAACGGGGGTGCATTATGTCGGCAGGATCATTTAAAAGGCAACCGTGACTACATTGTGCGTCTGCCCCATTTCTGATACCGTGGTGGCAGAAATTTAACATGGGCGGGCCGCCGCTCCAAAATCAACATAGAGGGAACACTGACTTTGTATGTCATTAGGATGTGCTTTACTTTTTACTTTTATTTAAATCAAAAATCGTTTTTCAACAGCTCCAAGGTCATATGACCCAATCACTTAATATAAACTTTGAACTGGGGCACATGGAGCACCCCTCGTAATAAAGTCGGTAAGGATATTCCTAATTTTCACTTAATACAAGTCAATTATTTTACTAGTTGTCAGGTTGTTTGACTGAAGAGAAGTTATATGGACACAACAACCTGTAGTAAAGTGGCCTAGTTACCGTACAGTTTGGCTCAGTGTTTTAACTCATATTTTATCACCGTCTTTTTTGTCCGAGTTTGTGGCTCTGTAGCACATTAATCATCTACTTTGCCACATATATTATATCTAATAGGCAGTTTATTTTCTGCTGTTGACCTGGCATTGCAGGACATGTTGCCTCTTTTCAGGTCTTCATAAGTTAAACTTGAGGTTCATTGAGTAGTATCGCTATGTATCTCTTTGAGTACTTCTGCATTAAAGAATTGTTTAGCACGAGGACCGTGCACACCAGTGAGTATTTTTCATGTTCATGTATACATTTGTTTATTATTCTTGAAGCCGCATAGGCTGGGACCTTTGATAAACTGTGGAGGGTTTAATGTGCACCTTCTCAGTCCTTTGCTCTCCCTCAGATATTACCCCACATCCATGTGCAGGCACACACACACAGACACACGTCCAACTTCATCACCTTTTCCTGAGACCTACCCGAGATCCCCTGGAGACCGGCTCAGTGATGCGAGTTGAACCTGTGTGGGCTCAATCTGAATGGGTCAGCATGCGTCAGCCAACCAGGGTTACACATCAGTTAGACATTTCCTGGCTTGGGTATTTGATATGATAGGGTTGTGACAAGCTAAACTTTCTGCTAAACTCTAATTTAGGCTGATATGAAACATTTCATAAACTTGTAACTGTGTGCACAACCAAGAATAAATGTCACTCTCTCTGGAGCTCATCCTGCTCATCTTTATGTTTACTCCGACTTTATGGACTTTTTTTTTTTTTTAATGTGGAGGGATTTATTTGCGATCTCTCCTGCTTCGTTTTTAACAAAAGGGGCTATGTATGTATGTATGGTAGCATCTTTATGCTTATATTGTGTTCACATAAAATTGTCTTTTCTCTCTTCCCACTGTCTAGTGGAAGGCTCATGATGGGGTTGTTCTGAAGGTGGACTGGAATTCAGTCAATGACCTCATACTGTCAGGTGGAGAAGACTGTAAATATAAGGTGGGCAGTGTTAGAGTACGCTTTTAGATGACTTGGGGGCTGTTAAAACTTTTTAAACTTTCAAACCATGTCCTTCCTCAACAGGTATGGGACAGCTTTGGCCGTCTGCTTTACTCCTCGTCGTCTAATGACTACCCGGTCACCTCTTTGTCCTGGGCTCCAGATGGAGAGGTGTTTTCTGTGGGCTCCTTCAACACCCTGCGGCTCTGTGACAAGACTGGAGTAAGAAAAACCCTTTACACTCTATCAATACCTTATTTTTGAATCGTTGTGTTCCATCAGGACTCCCAAAATAATGTGATGTTATTCTATCACTACAGTTGGATGTTCACTGTTAGCAGCTGTAGAAACTCAAAACTGTTCATATTGGAGAGGTTGGAGGTTGTTGCTAAACACAACTGTTGAAAAAAGCAAAAAAGAACAAATAGCAGGAGGAGAAACTGAAAGATATTACAACAGCGTAGTACTTTGGCATAAAGTTAACTGGCCGATAAAACTATTCTAATGTTCATCATTGAGATTTTAAATATCTACCACCTACCAAAGTTGATTAATTCATTTGATTGTTGATTTTTGTATAATTTAACTGCTTTAACTTGCTTCAGTGCAAGCAGGATGCGCAAGTCGTGTGCCACATCAGCTGATTATCAGACAAACACCAATATTGTTTGGCTCTTGGCTGGGCAGTCCAACCAGTACAATCACATTCTCAAGTGCTCTTGCATAAACAATGAAATTAGTCGTCCTCAGTCTACAACCCCTTTCACACATGACCGAGGACTGTTTAAAACGGTGATGGCGATCTTGTGCCATTGTGTGACAAGGTAATGGATGTTTTCATTCTAGCAAAGGTTGCACCATGTAATTTTAGTGATGGCCGTCTCTTTCTGGTTAAAGTTCTGCTTGTCAGTTGATAAAAGGATGCAGATGCAGGTTTAAAGGGCAAGTATACTCACTATGCTTGTTGGATGGAGTATAGTCCGACCCTTATGTGATGTTAGAGGTCATTAAAGACTCACACAATAGAACTTTGTGGGTATAATCTTATTTAAAAACTAAATTTTTTAACATTCTGAGTTTACCATGCTAAACTACACAATCCACCACAGAACAAAATGATGCATACACGTTTACCCTTAACAATTCCCTGATCTTGATTTGTTTTTGCACATAGTCATTTCAATAATTTCAGACTATTTTTGACATCAGCACTCTGATGTAAAATGGGTGTAAACCATTGCCCCTCAGTGACAAGAACTAGACACTTGAATGCCTCTCAGATGTTGCAGTGACAGTCTAGAAAAGCAGCCTGACCTCAGTTAAAGCAGCTGTTGCTGTCAACCTTTGTAAAAGCTATGCAACTCCAGAGCTTAGGATCCACGTGCGTTCCTCGTATTGTAAGCCTCTGTTTTGTGTATTTTATTTGTTTATTCCTGTCTACCAATATGACATGTATGCTTTGTAGTCCTTTTCCCTGAAACATACAATACCTGTGGTACACCGTCAGCTTTTTCAGTGCAGTATATTATGTAGCTCACTGCAGGCCTTATGCTTTATATACGGCGTTCATCTCTGTAAACCACATTAGGCTGCATGCCACATGTTCTTGTTACCTGGTGCTGATGGTAACTGGAGTTGTAATGAGAGGGGAAATGAGAGAATGATGAATGGTAATTGTTGTTTTATTATTGCTGAACGTTTGGCCAGGAACAATATTACTAGTTCCCCGCTCTGCCCTCATGGGACGTTTAGGGCTTCTTTGAGTTTACTCAGAGATGTCAGTGTATTGCTGCTTCAGACCTGTTGTAATGAAAACAAACAGCCAGGGCTGGGTTTTTGTGTGCTGATCACCAGGCATTTCATGCTCCATTTTGATTTAATTAGGATCAAATGGCTTTTTTTTTCTGGAGCACTAAAACCAATGGGCTGGAGAGAGGCCTGAGCCAACACATATGTCTTCTACAGAGGGGTAAGGTGTGCATTTGTATGTGTTGTGGGGAGGTTACATTAATGTAATTTGACTATGAAGGTCCAAAGGGAGACTGGGGAAATCCCCTATCCTTTACTATTACTCATGGTCATCTGAACCAGGAATTTCAGTAGTTTTTTGGGAAAATTGCCAAATTATAGCCGTGAGCTGAGTAAATCATTCAAAAGAAGCCAGCTTGTATCCATTTTCTTTGTGTAAACAAAATAGAAATTATTGTGCTATTAAAACTATAACAGACAGAACTGAGTACAACTTGCTTCTATGTCTTTTTCAAATGACCCGATTCACCTTACGTCCTCTCATTATGTGTTTGTTTACGTGGTTGGTTTGTTCCATTGTTTCGTCATTGCACCACTTTGCTTTGCTGTGGTGTGTGTCTTGGGTGAAGGCAGTGTGATGATGATGATGATAATTATGATGATTATGGTTCTGCCCCTCCTCTAACTGGAGGAAGGGTATGCTTGCCTTCTCCTCCTTAAGCACCTCAGAGACAGTGTGTGCTGTAGCATGGCGTGGGAGGCTTGCTCAAGAAGGGGTGGGGGTGGGGGGCAGAGAAAAAGAATTTAGAAAAAGAAAATCCCCCTCAAAGGTCACTCCATCTGAGTCGCTTTCTATGTGAGAATTCAGACTCACGCCCCTCTGACGCATCAAGTTAGAGAAAGTTTAATTTGTGTACATATGCACACTCGTACTATAATGACTGTAATCTCAACGTGAGTGTGAGTTTACACACAAACAGAGGCCGTTAAGCAATTACAAGGGCTTTACCTGTGTTGTTGCTGCAGTTTGTTTTGCGGCGCGGTAAGGGTTAAGCAGAGTCTTTTCAGTTACTAGCGTGACTAATGGGAAGGAGTTTCATTCTGTATCTGCTACAATGAAACCTTGCACTTTAACATATTGCTGCTTGCTCAGCAGGATCCGTCCGCACATTTAACCCTTCACCTCTCGTCCAGCTCAGCTCTCCTCTCGCCCTAAACTCTCAACTCTCTCCTGCTCTTTTCCCTTTTTCTTCTTCACATTTTCTCCCTCCGCGCACCACAGGGCAGATGTAGTGTGTTACCCCCCTCATTATCACCGTGGAGGGAGGGGGAATGCACACTCACACTCACACACAGACACACACACACACACAAAGTTTACATCGAGGCAAAAGTACTGGGAAAGATTAGTCTTGTAGTCCCAGCAAGCCACTCCATGGACTGAACACAAAGTTTGTTTTTCCATAACGCATCAAGTAGTTATCATTGAATATATTATTGAATTATTATTATTACACATTTAATTATTTGAGTTGCGATTTTGTTGGGTTTGCGTTCTTGTGTGTAGAGTACATTTTCTCTTCACGGGAGCTTTAACAGGACACAACACACAAAGAGGTTCACTGTCCCTTTTACAAGATTTGGGAGAGACAATAAGTCAGTGTCTGTCTGTGTGCCTGCCATAGTATATGCATGTGCCCACATGCCTGTGTGTGTCTGTGTGTGTGCGTGCGCGTGTGCAACCATTGCCGTGCAAATGTGCCTGCGAGACAGCAGTCTATTTACGAGGCGCTGCAGCTGGTGTCTAGCGTCTGGACCCTGTCACGATCCCTGACACTGTCACTGGCTAACAAGTAGGACTCATTGTGCCAGGCGAGCACCCTCTCGCTTCTTTTTCTCCCCCCCCACCTTGCCGCCCCCCTTTTTTTTTTTGCCTGTGCTTGTTTTTTTCTCTCCACTGTACACCCATGCTCACATACATAAATGCAATAGGTGCTTGGTTTTGTTTTTATAATTCCTGCACAATATTTGTTTTTTAAACTTTTTATTGGTTGGAAACATGTTATTTATGTAACTTACTGCAAGTTTCATGGATTTTCTTTGGACAGTGTTTCAGGAACCTTAATGATAAAAAATGTTTTACAGGACAGAACATTGTCCCAAGAGCTGATAGAAATTCAGTGTTTTGCTCAAGGTCACACAAGTGGACAGAATCTTGTAATCAAGAGTGTTTTAACGCAGCCTCAAGGCCAGATTTCTAACTAACTTCATCATTTTTGTTTGATGCTCATTCAGGACATAGCGGGCTTTCAAACTGAAAACAGCCCTGTGTTAAAGTAACAGAGGCCACCACAGCGCCATGCCGGATGATGTCACATTGCGTTGTGGCAAAAGTTGAGCCTGGGTCAACATTCAAATGAATGAGCCGCCTGACAATGTTGATCTGAACATAGCCTAGTCCATAGTTCCAGGCCCCATTAAACTCAGCGATTACTATTCCCCTTCCTCCCCTGTTCTGCTTTAACTGAGGTTTTACTGAACACGTGGCTGAGCTTAGCCCTGGTATGATCCAGGTTCCTGTCACACTCCTACTGATAAGCCAGTGTACACATCTCCTATATTCCCGTCTCTTCTCCGCCTCTCTTCTTTCTACTCCCCCCTTTGTAGGTTATCCTTAAACCACAGGCAACCTAGTGAGGACCATCAGACGGCTTTAATGTTAACCACAGACCTTCCTGTTTTTTTACCAACATCCTTGTCATGTGTAATAACTAAAATGTCTCCTCAGTGCTTTCAGTTCCTTCCACAATGTGATAACAACTGTCACCCCCACCACGTTTTGAGGGATGAGTTATCATGAATCATGTATCAAAGTTATAGCTCATAATGACAGCATTGTTTTCAAGAGTAGGGTTCGTAAAAAGTGTAAAACCACTGGTATCTTCTTGTGATTGCTGCCTGTTATTTCATACGATGGCCAAATGGCCCCTCAATCATGACACTCAATGATTTATTATCTCTTGCTGTGATTTTCTGCCAACTCCACTGTCTTTAAAAAAAAAACCTGCTTCTTCCCTTATCTGTATGTCCATCCTGAGTACTTTGTGCCAGTACATTGCTCTAACAACTATTCTGTATTAACTTAAGTGGGAGATTGAGCTACATCATTTTCCTTCCTCTTTGTCTGTGAGATACAAGCACGCTTTCCTTTTTAAAGAGGGAATTCTCCCATTTTGAGGATAAGTGTAAATCTCTCTCTATCTTTCCTCCTCTTTGCTGCTTATGCCTCCCTCCTCCCTGTGTCAGGGTGTGTTGGACTACCTTGCGCTTATCAGTACTCCCCCTCTTGGCTCTCTTTCCCTCCTGCCTTCCCCAAGGCCCTCTTTACCTCCCTTTTTTTTTTCTGGGTAGGTCCGGGGGGTCCCCTTAGGGTCTTTGTGAGCCTTGCTCAGCATTGCCACTCTGGGAATGGG